CCCATTGAGACAATTGCGCTAACTGAAAATCCAAGTTCGAAGTGTGTGCCCGGGGGGGCCATAGGACCAGCTTGTTGGCCACTTCTGTACATGATTCCACATGTGAATGATGCCTAAGTCCATTGCAGTATACAATTGTTTTGGTTGACTTTGGGCATCAAAACAAATGTTTCCAAACAAGCATGTGATCGAATTCTTTGGGCTGATGTGTTGCAATAGCCTGCGCAAGATCCGGAAATGGTCTATATCGAAGTATAGTCATGATTAGTCATGACATCTCGCTTCAATAATTGCTTTGTCTGCAAGATACTGTCCCACGAAGGTCAATAGCATCCACGGCTTCATTGTTCTTTCGATTGGATTTGACATGAATATATAAGTCGTAAAGAATCGTAATGATAGTTTAGTAATACTTGTATCCCAATGGTCTTCGTAATCTTTGACACATCCTGCGTTGACTCAAATCCCATCATCCAAAAACCCATCTGCACAGCCATCCCCTCTGTACGCCCACGCTCACGCCACCTTCCAGGCTGCACGGATGCAAGGGAGGCGAGGGGGGCGGCCCCGAGGGCGGCCGGACGGTGGCTTCGTGCGCGAAGCCTCGGTGCAAAGATCGTTCAGGGGGTTGCTCCTAGTAACGATGCCAGGAGCCCCTAGTAGCGTCCTTGTTCCTATATCGGTCTGTTATGTCAGATTTTTGTCCACCTTTTTACTTAGGATAACTTAGGCGTGTCGTTCTCACTTGCGACATTTCTTTGGACGTCGAGGGTCTTCCAAACAGAAGGGCATGTGTTTGAAATGTGTTTGTCAGAGGACGCGACCGTTCATGGTGTTGCCTCTCTTACGCCTCTTCCCCTCCTGTGAAGGGAATTCATTGGTATTGGTGGTTCCATTCGTTTCCGAGCGCCTGTCAATCTTTAACAGGATCTACCCCCATTGAATGCCTTCCAATTGAAATGCTCAAAATCCCTCGCTCTCACTTGTTCAGCTGCAACCTTTGAGGATGAAGTCGAGTTGTCCTCAATAGAAATTCCCCCGACCGACTCGGGCGCTGCAGATTCGACCGAGGTTGATCACACACGCCAATGATGCCAATGTGATCGTCCTACCCAAACAACTTCATCAAAGCCTTCGGGAGGGTTATATAGTTTAAATTTCATACCCTGAGAAAGCAACCCCGCAGATCCCACCAATTCGAGCAGAATGATCATAGTGGCGCCACTGTGATATGAAAAAGAAGCTTCAGTCCAATCTGCATCCCTCACTCACCTACAAATTCCAGGACAGGGAACCCATCTTCACCTCACCTTCGGCTCTTTTTCTTCCCCCCACGAATTCAACACTACAAGTGACTAAGCCGTGACTCGCAGGATTCCGGATTCCACTCCCGTGTGTATGCAATCCCAGGCACGGACTTTGCTGCTGTTTCGGGAGGTCGCGGTGGACTCCTCAACAGCAGCGCGACCGACACAGCATGGCAGGCAGGGATGAGGAGCCATGGAAATCCAACAGCAATGACTCGACCGGCACCAACGACTCAAAAACGGACTGGATCGCACGTGAACACCTTTTGGGCCCCAGCAAAACAAGCCAAAACTGGGACTTTAAGCTGCGACCACACCAAGACATTCGTTTTCGAACTATTACAGGAAAGCGTGATTCATCAGTCCGAGGAACACCAAACACAACCCCTCGCCCCCTCCCTCTGGCCTCCTGCCTCAGGCCGATAGCGAGCGGAAGTGGGTCCTCCCGAACAAGTTCAAGGGAGGCTTGGCACGAGGCTTGGCCCATCAAAAAATGCAACTCTTTGTGCAGTCTCGGGCGACTATAGTATCTATATTAGCTGTCTGTTGCAATAGTCGTTAGCATCAACAAGGCGATTTTCTGAGCTCTGAGCTCCAAAGTATTACAGTCATGTTTTTGACTGCCCATAAGCACCCTCCCCAGACCCATTAGAGTTCGGACACCTATTCGTTGCTGCGGTATGCTGAAGAAAACGAATTTCCTCCGTTGGACCGCTGCAAGTGATTCTGGCGATTCTACAACATGATGCGGCAGGTTTGTTGTGCAAAACATGCTGATGTGAGTAAGGCTGTCTTGAACAAACAGTAGGTACCATCAAGTCCAGCCAAATGATACAAAAAAATGGTTTGCCCAAAGGGTTCTCAGCTCTTAACGAATGCTGCTGAAAGTTCGTGTGATCGCTGCTTGCCTGACCAAAGATCTTGTTCATCCTTCCCCTCTGCAGCAATGTCTACTCTGGGCTGGAGCAACTGAGTCACAGCAAAATCCTCCGAAAACCTCATCCTTCGTTAAATGGTTTCTGGGGCCACTTCTTCAGCATAATTACACATCTCCCCTCCCGCCGAGTGTCAAGGCCTCTGCATCTAAGGAGAGGTCTGCGTCTGCCTGGTGCAAACATTGCTTTTGGCTGACAATGAGTACACTCTGACAAACTGATAAGTGAATACCCACCCAACCCCACCAGCAAGAATGAAATTGGATTATACAGTATTATTGTGATTTAATCATATCCTGATCTCTAGCCTCTATCTTCCAGCCTTTTTGCGTTGAGCCATATCGCGTGACCTGCTGTCAAGCATTTGCGGACCAACCTGCGTCTCGGTCAGAAAATAAAAAAAATCGTGTATCTAAAGCATATCAAAATTCGAGAGGCGGCTAAAGGAACCTGGTTCCCATGAATATTCATGCTCAGCAGGCCGACCAGGGCAACCCTCTGGGGCATCAAGTGCTTGACTGAGGTTGCGCATGCAAAGTGTTTTCTTGGGCGGGACATAGCTTCAGTTTCTATACTCATCCGCAAACAAGCGACATGAGACGCTTTTTACATCGAAAATATCAGGAGTATCTAGGGGTCATTTTTTACGGTTACTATATATACAAAAAAAAGCGGGCGGATTTTAAAATAGTGAGCCTCCATGAAGGATCTGCTGGGGCCGCCCAGCCATTCAAACATGCGGAAAAAACATGCGGAAAAACATTTCCTGACTCATTTCACAAAATCGGACTAGAGTCAAGCTCAACAGGGTCTTCTTCCCCCGCTGATTATCCCAAGCCCGTTCTCTTGGCTGTGGCTTCACTAGATAGTAGGTACTGATTAAATAGCGAGGCGTTCGGCTGCCTTAAAGGAGTCGTAGTTGCTCCCGCCGCTACCAAATCTGACGTGGATCTTACGTGGAGGCCTTGGCTGGCCTTACGTGGAGGCCTTGACTGGCCTTACGTGGAGGCCTTGGCTGGCCTTACGTGGAGGCCTTGGCGTGTTGGCTGGCCTTACGTGGAGGCCTTGGCGTGTTGGCTGGCCTTACGTGGAGGCCTTGGCAGGGAGGGCCTTACATGGAGCGGTTTGGTTTGGGCGTGCGGACTTTGGGCGGGCTAGATGGAGGCCTCAATTTGTCTGCGTGGAGGAGAGTTTGTGGGATTGGAGCTTCCGTGGAGGCCTTGGTTGCCTTATGCGGAGGCCGTGTATAAAGGCTTTGGCTTCGGCCTTTTTGGCGGGCGCAAGGTTTGGTGACTGCGTGAAAGCCTGGTGCGGTTATAGTTATGTGGATGTGGTGGGCTTAGTGGAGGGTGTGGCTACATGAATGGTTACCACCATGTGGGCATTGGCGCTTTCGCAACCTAGTGACCTAGTGGGTATTTTTGTTGGCGCTTTGTGGAGGGGTGTGGGATGGAGGCTTTGGCGCTTTGGTAATCCTGCTGTTTTTAATAGTTGTGAATGATGAAGGAACTGCACATTTTAAATCATTTTAATATGCGTAGCCGCCCGCCCACAAACATACGGACAGAATAGGAATTACACACTACCTGCGGGAGGATTAACCCTGGGCCGCCCGCCACATATTTTAATGGCGTAACCGTAGCATCTCGTCTCATCTCTTCTCCGCCCAAAACATGTTGGGACTCACCAACCCCCGTCCAGACCGGCGCCTGCGGACTGTCGGTGACTTTGAGACGTACTGCATCCAGCTCCGCTTGGTGCAGCTCGCCCAAGCGTCGATGCAGCTCCCAGAAGTCCATGGCAGGGAGCAGAACGGATCACCACCCGGTGCACTCAGAGCGCTCTCTTGGAGGGGGCAAACCACCCCCAAGGCTTCGAGGCAGCAGTGGTCCGGAGTCGTATGCCCCCGGTCTGGATCTTGTGGCACTGGTGAAGAGCGATGCCCTTTGCTCCGAGTAGCCTTCTTCTTCGTAGTTGTAAGATGTTGTAAGGCCAGGAGCCCCTAGTAGCGTCCTTGCTCCTAGTAGCGATGCCAGGAGCCCGTAGTAGCGAACCTTGTTCCTAGTACATGGTCCGGGTGATTCTGAAACAGTTCGGGTCCCATCTTCCAAGCTATCGCCTCCAACCTAGCGATGGCCTCCGACCACTATCCATGGTCCCAAGAGGTGAGTATGATGATGCCCCAAGTGGTTCGGACATGGCATGGACACCTCTCACGCATGGTTCAGGTCTTCCACTTTTGCTGCGGCCTCGCAAACTTGGTATGACCAGCAGATACGGTTCAATCAGATACAAAAGATCTGAAACTATCTTTTAACTAATGTAGCTCATTATAAAGTTTCCCAGTCTCTTTCACACCGCCACCCCTCACCTTTTCCACCTCCGGCCCCACTTCCCATCCCGCCACTCGGCGACCCAACACCCTCGGCATCGGCTGGTGGACGCCAATTCTCATGCACAGCTCTCCAATCACCTGACGGAATTGAAGCGAGGCCGCCCTCTGCTGACCGCCCATCTCTTTCTTTTGCTGGACACTTCATAAGGGCTCAAATAGCGATCTTTTCGAAGAAAGCCCTTGAGGCACTGACACGTCGATTCAGCTCGAACGCAGAAAAAATAACAGCGACCTGTTCGAAGAGAAGAGCCCCGTTTCGCCGGCACTATATGATTATAGATCTACCAGCGTGGACCACAGCCCTTTTAGTTACGATGTCGTGGCATCCCTACAAAAACAAATGCGAAACCAACGGAGATGATGTACAGGGTCCTCCACATTGGGTTGCTCGGATTCCAACAACCCCCTGACACGAACCAGCCGCCACGTGCCGCCGGTTACATGGCGTCTTCCGAGGCGGTCCGAGGCACATCCGAGTACTGCTTGCCGATGCCGGTCGTACTCCATCCCCCGCCAAGCAGTTGCTCCTCGGATCGGTGCCATCGGTCCAGACCTCCGGAGGTCTCTTCGGCCCCTGAGGAGGCCGAAGTGAGACTCGGGCCTCACCTCGTCGAACTAGCCATGAACTAGCCATGAACTACAGTAGCTAATTGTTGCTTCGATTCTGAAAAAATGAAAACGTTCCAGCTAATGTCATATCTTTGGGTTCCTGTTGACTCAGTTCTAGTTTGCATCTTCAACTGCAGCGGGTTCAACCCGGGCTCCGGTCTCCCGACCCGTGCCACCAACCACGGTGAAGGGGCCAGATATGTATGGGGGGTCCAAATAGTACATGGTGGAAAGCCTAGATGTGTCCGATGCGTCTTTGTAGAGTTGTTTCCCCAAACTTCTACTTGTTGTTGTCATGATTGATGCTCTATTTTGATGTATTAGTTCCAACGAAACCAAACACTTGGACATTGATATCTGATATCGTCATGCTTTTCAAGACCACATCCCAAACAATACCCTATCTGTTTGCCCGCTTTTGATCCACCTCCCCTGAGTGCGTTTTGCGGTTTGCAGGTCCGGAAAACGATCCCAACCAGACGTTCCCGCAGAAAAACCGACGGTCCCGGTAGTTGGAGAGTGAGGTCAGCCGAGCCGTCTCCACCTCAAAAAGTGGACGACCGAATACCGAAAGCTGCCCTATAAGAGAAAGTGCGTTGTTTGTTTCTTGTTGCTAGTAGCTACTTGCTCCTAGTAGTACGGCCAGGAGCCCCTAGTAGCGTCCTTGCTCTTAGTAGCGATGCCAGGAGCCCTAGTAGCTCCTTGTTACGACGGGCGGGTTTTGAGATTAAAAAGATAAGTGCTGAGCATGATGGTTCCTTGAAATATGCGGTTTGTACACATGCGAGCTATCTTCCCCACGCGGGATTCATGGGAGACAAAATGAGATGGACAAGCTCTGGTCGATGTAGGACCTGTGCATTGCTGCCTCTGTTGTGTCAATTGTGCAAAATGCAATGCTTCCAACAACACGCTTCGGCCTTGGATGATTGAAAGATTCGGAAGAAAAGTCCCGTCAGCTTGGGAAGTTCTCCAAATTGGCTGCAGAAATGGCCAGCGCCACGGTGCGAGATGGGGTGGGGCCAGCGGGGCCCCACACCCACCCACAACCCCACTCCTCGACCAAAAATGACTAGTTTCTGAACACGGCCAAACCTAGTTTCTGAAGCCACGCCAGTTTCTGAGTTTTACTTTGTTCATCTTCACTTTGAAGAAGGATAGGCGTTTCAGTCAACAGGATCAGAGCCTGCACTGAAAACAAAGGAAGTCGCGCAGTTGAGCTCTGCTGGAAAGTTTGGTAGATTCCTAAGGTCGGAAGAGGGCGCTTACGTAGGACATAGGTTTTTCTTATGCGCCCCCCAGTTTTTCTTACGCGGCATGTGGGGGGAAGTGGATGCTCAGCATGTGGGGGGAAGTGGATGCTTACACCACCTTTACGCAGCCAGAGGTCACACACTTCTCGCGAATCTTCCTGAAACATTCTTACGCGATGTGCTTTGTATAACACTGGGGTTTCAAGCCTATCTACAGAAGCAGACGAAGACCTGGTAGAAGCAGAAGAGCTGCCCTTTGCCGCTTGTATTTTCTAGTTTGCTCAACGCCTGGGCTTTAGAAGAGAGTTTCTCCTCTATGGACCCTAGACCTGTGTGTTGTGTTATGGTACCTATGAGCATGTATGAGCAAAGCGGAAGCTTGTCTGAAGTGCATATTTTCGGTGAGTTGACATCACCAGCTTTGAGGCCCACTTCTTCCCATGATCGAGGTTGTCGTAGCCGTCGCAACGGCAAAATTAATCCCCTTCATCTATATAAAGATTCACTGAGCAACCAAGAGCACAAGAGTTCCAGTCATGTCACTGAAGACATTGTTCTGGACAGTGACTCCAGAAGCGGCATGCTTGTTCAAGTACCCAAACTGTATGTCCCGGAATTCTAGAAACCGCACTGCTATGCACATTCCTATCCCATGTCCTTTTCCCTGGTCTCTGTATATAGTCTATTCGGGTCAGCCATGCCAGTGTCCCGGGCGACCCCAACCGCACGGTCGATGCCGCCGTAGCCTGAGACGAGGTCTCTCTCGACAGTTCGGAGTTCGCTCAGTCGAGACGGAAGGCCGAGGCCGAGTCGTGGCAAATGGAAGTCATGGCCTCTGATGCTTCCGTCTTTGACTTTTACTGTAAAGATTCTTGACAGTCTCCTTTTGGCTTCGACAAAGAGTTTGACTCCTAGAAAAACAACCTTTGGGGGGCCAAGCCTGCCTTCCACTAAAGAGTCCACCTTTCTCGGTCAGGCAACGCCACGCTGGTCCAACGTCGAATGGGTCATAATCTGCCTTGTTCTTTCAACGTTGGTGGAGATGCCCCAGAGTTGCGGCATGGATTTCCAGTCCATTCCTTTGCCAAAGCAATCTCTTCGGGTTGAATCGTCAACCCCACATGTGTTTTTCGCCTTAGAAGGGCTGGTCCTCTTTGGTGGACCCATCAACGAAAGAATGAATGGGATTGATTGGGTCTGTCTTGAATCAGAGACACCCCCCAACCCACAGGTGTTCGTTGGCCCGTTCCTTCTACCAGGGCTTTTGAGTCTTTTGGGGTCTCCCAACCAAGAAAAGTACAGTAAACCCCGTAACTCTTCCTGGCGAATTCTTCCCCAGTCTCTGCACTTGTTTTACGAGCTCTTGCGACCAAAGGACTCTTTGGAGTGCTTTCAATGGCCTTCCTCAAGGCCTTGGGTTCGACCCGCAAGCGACCAGTCTCAGCACGTGAACCCCGTTTCGCGGGCGAGCGAAACGCCACTGTGGTGTTGGAACCCGAGATCATACGCGACCCTTTCGACTTGGCTTGGCTCTTTCGATCAATACGGAACCTGATGGAACGACCAGTCCATGTTATGGTAGGTGGTACCTCCCAACAACATGTCTTCGGAACTTCGTATCCTCTCAAGTAATCACTGGATATCACTGGTCACTGGTCTTTGATGGTCTTTGTTTTAAAAGAAAAGGACAGGGCACCCTGGGTCCTCTCCGGGTCCTCTCGGCGGGAGCCGGGTGAAACCGCCCACCAACCGCACAGCTTCTTCGGTGGCCAGGCCCGCTCGTAGCGGTTTTGCTGCCGACCCAGAGGTCCAGCACCACACTTGGCACAGGCTGAGTCCTGGTGGTGTTCCCGGGGCAGTGATGGTTTCATGGAATTTCCCGTAATTTTCTTGCTGAGCGCCTTCTGGAAGCGATTTTAGCGATTGTCTCCACATCCATCATTGGGCACTTGTAGACGTTGAGTGCTGAGGCTTTCTGATTGCCTGGGTTTCTGTCACCGGTGCAGCAGCTCTGAGTCGCCCAACGAAAGCTGCTGGAACCCATGGACCCCAACGAAAGTAAGTGCGAAGCGGGGATCGATGCTTCAACGGGTCAAAATCCTGTGTCGCCGAACCCAACACTCGAACATTACGTGCAAATGAGAGCAAAGAACCACACAAGTGCTCGGGGGGGCCTGGGGGCTCCTTCAAAGCGCCCAATTCAATGGCTTGAAATCATCTCAACCACCCAAATTATGTGTTATATTGTACAAAGAAGTGGTCCAAACATATCCAAACCACTTAGTCAATCTCGCATTGATTTGACCCAAGTTCCCCACCACCCCGGCCGATGCCCCGCCACGTCCCCCAGTCCACGGGCTTGCCACAGGCGGTCAAGAAGGCTTCGTCCAGGGCCCAGGCACCCCGACCCTGGCGCGGAACCAAAACCCGAACCCTGGGAGCGAAGGGCGGGAAGAACGGTGATGTCGACCTTTGGACCCCGAGCGCCGCTTCCGTCTGAAACCATCCCCGAGCGGTTTCTCAAGAGGTCAGAGGAGGTTGTGCGCGATTTCATGTGTGTTACACAAAGATCACAGACCTCTGCTCTGAATAGGCAGAACAAGAATCAGCATTCATTGAACATGGATCATACCAGCCAGTCTTGGTCACCATTTGGCCAGCAGGGACCCAACCGACCAAGAAGAAACAACACTGGACAACGCGACCGAAAGGCTGACGAAGAAGCGAGGCCAATGAGTTGAATCCAAGTTCAACAGCCTGTGAGGCACAGTCACCCACGAAGCACACCCCTTGCCATAATTACGAGTGTTGCAAGAAAGGTCCTTCAAACCTCCATGGTCAATGCCACAGGGCCCTCCCCGCCTTCGGCTTTCGGCTGGTGTTCACCTGCCAAATGCGGACGGGACGTTCATTGGACGGTGCGGACAGAGCTTGAGCCGTGACCCAGAGATCGCCCTTGAAATGGCCTACCAAATGAGATGAACCATGATGAAACCCTACCAGGTCGTTGAACTCCTCATGACACTCATCATGACGTTCCATTGCTGGCTTGTGTAAAAGGCTTAGTCAGGTTGCTTGGTCACCACGTACCGGATGATGCAAGTCTTGTGCCAGCGAAGTCAGCAAGCTACTAAGGCATATCATATTGTTTTGAGCATAGAGATGGTCCAAGGACTCCCGGCACCAGAATGAATTGGTGGAGCACTGGGAAAAAAGTAAAAAAATCCTTCTCGGATCACCTAAAGACCCGTTTGAATAAATGGTGGTTGATTTCCAGCGTAACCAGATGGTAAGATGTATCTTGATCCGCTCGGAGCTGGCCTCCACACCCAAGTCCACCGCACAGGACCTGTGAGCCGCTTTTTCGTCCGTTGAATCCGGTTCCGGGTTGGTCCGCTGCGGCCCTAGGGTTGTTGACAGAGGTGGGACCAAAGATTCCAGCTCTCACATGCCGAAATAGCCCCATGGACGTGTCCATTGTCCACTACAAGGCTGGCCCTGCAGTCTTTGTTAGGTTCCTTACAAAGAACTCTTTCAGTTTGAAGCCCAGAGTAAGCTTGTTGAGTGCCATGCAATCATCTGTCAATTGCACCTTGAATCACCACATGCGCCCGAGACCCTAGGATCCGACATCTCCAAGAGGCACCACAAGCGCCTCAGCCGAATCCAACCAGTGGAGCCACGGATCTCAGCTTCCAGGGGACCCACGGAATACCTCCATCGTCCCATCTGATGGCATCGCCTGTTTCGTCAAAGAAAGCTCAAACATGCCCCGGTAGCCAGCATTTGTTGAGAGGTAGCTGGCCATGTTCACCAACTTCACCAGTGACATATCTCCATGGCATGCCATCTTCTACTGCTCGCCCACTCCCGACACATGCCTGCGCCGCGCACCATTGCTCGACCTTCAGGGTCTTCTCCTTTCTGGGCCATCCGAGCTCATAGACGTCCACGGTGGAAAGGACGCAGAGCAGGGATCTTCCCCGCAGGACCTGCAAGATATGTTTGCGGTGTCTTTGACTGCATATTTAGTGATTCCAAGAGATTCTAAGTGGGAAATAGATCAAACATGCTCAAACATGGTAAAGCCCGTCCCAAAAGGAACCTCCAATCAGCATCTCAAATCACAGGGGTCTCAGCTAGCACCCCTGTGCCAGGAAGGAGATGCCAGGAACCCCTAAGCAATCAGATCATCTCAGACCTGGTTCTTTGGACTTCTCCGGTTGTTTCCGTTGGTTGTTTCACATTGGTTCCGTTCGAAGCGAAGAAAAGCACTGATCAACACGACTCGGTTTTGGCCTGATTCATCAGCTCAAAGGGCTCATTGAGGACTTGCATGATGCTTTCCTGGCAGGCCAGGCCGTAGCCAGAACGAAAAAAACCATCCGAGAGAACCTCTGGAGGAACATGGCTTATATACTACCCTGTATACGTTCAAGTTCGGTCTTTGGCCACCGTTCAGGTTTCGGCTGAAACGGCTTGCTACGAAGCCCTGTTCGAAGGGCCCCGGCAGTCCTCGGACTGGTACAAGGCGGTCGAGGCCACCTCGGGGGGCTTCGCGGGGCGGACCTTCGGTCCAGGGCAGCAGGATGTAGCAAATATCATCAAATATCTATGGGATGCTTCCTGAAATGTGTGATCTCTTGGAAGGGAAACCACCTTCTGGAAGCAAAACCGTGTGGACAGCCTGCAGATATTTGCCTGTTCCTCCAGGCACAAATAGCATATCAAATAGCACTCATGAAGGATGTTTGAGGCGAGTGAGTGGGTCGCTTCCGCTGCGCTTTGCTCCTGGTTGCAGTGGTGGTGTTCCATCTCAGCACTCATCTTGACCAATAGCACGTCACCCGGACAAGGCTTTCGTGGGTCGCAAAACCGTGGGAAGAGTAGAGTCGAGCCCTAGAGCTTTCAAAGGCTCCAAAACCGTGCGCAATTGTCTCATCCACCACTTGTATGGCTCTTCTGTCTTAGACATGGTGACAGCGCTCCGTCCCGAGGGTCTCGCTGTCAGTCTGCTCCACCAAACCATGGCCCATGGCAGGTCTCAGAACAGGGACACCCCTGTTCTAACTGCCTGGTCGAAGGCCAAAGTATATTATATAGAGGAAAACTGAATAAAGACCCAGCGCTTGGGGATTGGGGCTGGGATTGGGATCTCATCTCAATCCTCTGAGGGTTCCACCGATGCCTTCGACCTCCCTGGGCGCCGCACCCACAAGGGCCCTTGTTGAGGCACGACCGACCTCAGTCTCCCGCGTGAAAAGGACCGCGGGAAAAGGACCGCGTTAAAACCCCTCTCATCTCCACAAACCTGTGGGGACTTGGAAAGCACAGTCAAACCAGTCGTGTCCAGGTCGGTCGTCGAAGACGCACGGGACCCACCGTCGCCGAGCGTTTCAACACGTGAAACCACGTGCGGAGGCTTGGAGCACTGGGCGACCGAAGGGTGGACTCACAACGCTCTGCTGGTGGTGACCTCTGGACTTAGAACCTGTTCTACAAGTCTTAAAGCCGCACCACCCCGCACTCCTCTCACCCCACAAAACCGGCCAGGCATAGTTCACCGCAGCCGAAGACCAGATTCACTCTCCAGACGCCTTCCAGTCCTCTGTTCCGCTACAATGCTTGTTCAACAAGGGTCAATTGACAAGGCCACCTCGGGAATGAAATGTTGGAAGCACGATCATGAAACAAATCCTTCTTGTGACGTAGATGTAGAAATGATTCCTGTAGACATGTTTTAACAGTAAGTTGGTGCTGTTTGTTTCCCGGACCATCACCCAGGTCGGGGTCCGCGGTCCTGATTTTTTCAATGATATGATACGGATACACACAAAAGTACTGTAAAGTCTTTCACGTTAGACTCCAACAGAAGTCTGTGATCAGTCTACTGACAGGTGATCCCATCCAAAAGATCACCGCAGTCTCTTCCTCTTTGAGGTCCCCTTTTTCTCCCAGCACGAGACTCCCGGCAGTGTGAGGAGCAAATCCACGAAAGCATCGTCCCAGGCATGGGAGACCATCACAGCCTCGCTCTTCAAGTGAAAGACTCGAGTTACTGGGCGAAGGAAGAATCCCAATGCAAGAAGGCCAAAATGAGGCCTTCGCTTGTCACGGGCGCCGAAAAAACACCTGCAACACAGAGCTTTCTTGGTCCTCTCTGCCCTCTCTATTGTCAACTCAACATTTGGATGTCTGATGTCTGGAGAGTGACCTCCCCGGTCGTTCCGACCAGTGGAGAGTGAAGGGCCTGCTTTTTGCGAGTGATGCAGCGGTTCCAAGCTACTGGGTAAGTAGACCCAAAACCAATTGAAAGGTCATGGATTGTGGGAGGACCATGTTTCTTTTCGCAATTAAATAGAAGGCCAGTCCTCTCTGAGTGGAGTTCAGGTGGTCGTTCCTGGTTCATTCTTTGCAAATGTGGCCAGCCCTTCAGCTGTTCCAGTACAATCGAAAAGGCAGCAAGCGTGGCTGAGGGTGTACTTGCCGATTGTTGAGAGAATACTTTTGGTTGGTCATGGCATGGCTATGACCATGACTATGACACTATGGCAAGGGTCTGCAGTTGACCCATTGAAATGGGTGAAGTTTTAAAAAAAACTACTTATCGCATCAATAAAAACTTATTCAAGGGGATCAATAAAGAACTAATTACTTAATCAAAAAATAATAATTCTACCACGAACCCTCTTTGGGCTGGGCGTCGGCCTGTATACTAATCTCTTTCCTCCTGCCTGGCCTCCTGGCTAACAGGCAGTTTCCGCTCAGAGTCGAAATTCGTGGCAGGAATCTTGTGGCACAGGGGCGGGTTGGGGGGAGGGGGACGCGCCTCCCCCTATGAGCAGACACGGCTAACGCTTTCAGGTATGTACTACATTATTCTGAACTAACGTGAGTGATTAAATGTTTGATGGTTTTTTCTTTTCTGATTATTGGAGTAATTTCATTCTATTTCATACATTTTGTCAATTCTGTAATGCATTATATTAAATCACGTTTCCTGTCTCTTCCTGGCTTTCTGGCCTCTTTTTACAACAGCAGCAGCTTTAGTTTTTAAAAGTCAAGTTTCCGCTCAAATCTTCCTGTGTGTCATACTACGTTGTTGGTTCCTGGCTGATTGGCTTTTTTGTCTAGAATAACAGCAGCTTTAATGTTCAACAGGCAAGGTTCCGCTTACAGTCAGATTTCGTCGCAAGACTTTTGAATAGCATTTGCAGATTTGGTGGGCAAGGTTTACCAAGGTTCCACTAAAAGCCTGATTTCATGGCAGGGACGTTGAATACTATCTGCAGATTTCGTTGCGCGGAAGGGGGGTTGGGGGGGAGGGCGCAGCGCCTCCCCCCCACGAGCGCTCGGAAAAAACATGCAATGAATTATACAGAGCCAAACGAAAGTCAGGAAATCTATGTACAGGAGTAAGAGACATCGAGTGGTAGAATCGGCCTCCTGTTCGAAAAGTGTAGAGGCAGGGTGTGAGTATCAAGATCAAATCGGCAAAAGTGAGTGCGTGAGTCAAGTTGAAATGGTAACATCCTTCTCTAAATTTTACCCTCGGGTGGCTCACCAAAGGGTGAGTCAACTTGGAAGGGCAACATCCTTCTTTAATTTTTACCCCTGCATGGCCCACAAAAGGGTCAGTCAAGTTGAAATGGCAATTTACCCCTGCATCACAAAAGGGTGAGTGAACTTGGCATAGCCACTTCCCTCTC